CCCTGAGGATGAGAGGGGACACCGAGCTGCCCCAATGTGCATTTTTAGGAGCCCCACAGAGGCTTTTCCCCCAGTTTGAAAGGAGCTTTTGGGGACACAGTGTGGGACCAAACCTGGCTCCAAAGCAGCCCTGGGAGGTGACAAACCAGGAGAGCCACGGGCTGAGCCCTTCCCTTGCCAGCAGCACAGTGAGCCCACGCACGTGGGAGTCCTCCCTGCCACGGCCACACCACGGGACACAGCGCAGGGAGATTCCCCAGCCCCACATTTCCTGGGAGCAGAGATTCTGCTGGCAGGGCCGGTCTGGCCGTGCTTGGGCGGGTGTTTAGTGCCTGGTGGGAGAACAGCACCAGGCTCTGCCCCTTCCTCCCCACGGCCTTGGCGGGGCGGACTCGGAAGAATGCGAGTTGGCCATCCATCAGGGAGACACAGCAACAGCCAGCCGAAGAAAGAGGGGCATTTTAGGAGGAAAGCCAGGGAAATTTGATCATTAAGAAATCCTCCTGGCTGTCTGGGGGAATTTAATTAAATTGCTGGAAAGGGCTGTAAGCACATCTGGATCCAATATGTGCCGCTTTGATTTTTTTCTTTCTTTCTTTCTTTCTCTTTTTTTTTTTTTTTTTTTTTCATTTTTTTCCCTTCTTTTTTTTGAAGGAGGGGGGGAATAAAAGGGAAATAGCAGAGCCACGGAGTATTGGTTCATCTGGGACTGACTGGGATTCCTGGCAGGGAAAGAAAGAGAGGGAGAGAAAGAAAGAGCAGAAGAGAGGCAGAAAGAGAAGGAATGAGAAAGCTGGGAGAAAAATCTTCAGCAAGGGCCTTGCTGGAGTATTTTATAATGCCACCAACCACAGAGACAGGGAGCTAGGAGGCAATGGGGGAGCTGTGAGGGCTGCAGGGGAGAGGAGGAGGAGAGGAGCCAGCGCAGGGCATGCTGTACTTTTGGGGTCTGGCAGGGATGGAGGGAGAAAGAGGAGCTGCTCAGTAAATCCAGAAACACCATTCCTGCTGGGAAGGGCAGGGCTGGGCACGGGGGACTCCCCCAGCAGCTACTCCTGGCTGTCACCCCTGCGGGTGGCACTGCCCTGGCCCCTGCCTGATGCCCCGGGGGCGGAGGGGGTGCTCTGATCCCCAGCCTGGGCAGCACACGGGCCGGGCACACACCCCAGAGCCCTTTCCTGGTCCTGGCCAGGCACTGCCAGGCCCCCGCCATCCCCCACACCCTCCTCTTTCCCACTCCTTACCCCAAGCATCCTCCAGGCAGCAGAGGTGCAACTCCACGGTCAGAAAATCCTTCAGCTGTGGGCGAGCCAGCCCAGCTCTCTGCACCAAAACATCCACAGGGCGAGATTTTGGGAATGTTAGGAGGGAACTCCTGGGTACCACAAGGAGCAGCACCATCCCAGGCAGTGCTCCAAGGAGGCTGCGCTGCCCCTGTCCACGGTTTTGGGGTGAGGAGGGGCTGGGGCTGGCAGAGCACATCCAAATCTGTGCCGTGCCGAGCAACACGGAAGCACAAGGTGTTAGCGCAGCGTGAGAGAAATACCAGGAAACCCCGAGGAAACACAAACTGAGATTACCAAACAAATATTATATTTTCAATCTTTTTCTTTCGAGAGGAAGATGAAGGACTGGCAAAGAGAAACACATCCATGCCAAGGGCTGCAAACCTGGCAGGCTCTGGACAGACAGATCCTCACCCTGAGGAGCCCAGCACAGCCCAGCACAGCCCAGCACAGCCCAGCACAGCCC